TATCTATCTATCTATCTATCTATCTATCTATCTATCTATCTATCTATCTATCTATCTCTATATCATCTATCTCTATATCATCTCTATATCATCTCTATCTACCTCTATCATCTGTCTGTCTATCTCTATCCACCTAATAAAAAGAAACAAAACATGTAATGGCAAGGGGTCCACCTCTTCTCCAAAGCCTCAGCGGGCAGGGCAAGGAACAGCAAAGGTAAACTAACTGAGCAGAGAAGCAAACCTGACGGTATGAGGCCGCCTGCTTGAGCAGCGTTGTTGGACTAGATGACCTCCAAGGACCCTTCCATCCCTGTTCTTCTATGATTCTGTCAGGGTTTCCAGCTCGAGCAGGAGGTTGGACTAGTCACTAGAAGGTCACTATCCTATGATTCCGTCAGGGTTTCCAGCTCGAATAGCGGGTGGGACTAGATGACCTCCAAGTCCCCTTCCCACCCTATGATTTCCCCGACCTTCCCGGAAAATCCGAATCGTCTCTTTTTTATTTCCCTCCCCAGGTTCCTTACCACGAGTGGTTCAACCTGAACACGGAGTGGAAGAAGACTCAGTATCTCAAAGACAAGATGCAGAAAGCGCTTGCCACAGACTTGGCGGGCTAGGGACTTTGCAACGGCGTGTAAAGTGCGAGGAAGTGAAATTAAGGGTGGAATTAAGATGATTGTTTTGTACAGAATCGGCTTCTCTTTCTGGGCTTCCTGGATTTGGAGGGTTCGAAAAGTCTCCTCGGAGTGAGGAGAAAGGGGGAGTGGGACCATCCTCGACTTACGACCATCTGTTTAGCAACCGACATCACAACGGCCCTCGAAACAGAGACTTTAGGACAGTTCCTCACACTTACGACCACGGTCACCAAATTGGGGAAGCTCGGCGCCCGGCACGTAGTGCTACTCCTCCTCTTCCGACCATCATGGAGCTCACAAATTTTGGTTGTAAACAAGACCTTCCGGCAAATATTGCCTCGTTTTATGACATTTTTTGCCATGGTCATGAAGCGAATCGGCACTTTTTAAAAGGGAGCCACATGGTCGTATGTCGACTTTGGTCACTGAAAGAGGATGCGGGAGGCCAGGATGTCATGAATACGAGCCGATCGCCGAGCGTCCGAATTTGTGACAGTCGTTAAGTGCGAGCAACAGTCCCTTTTCCCAGTGCCGTTGTAACTTGGAACGGTCACTAAACAAACTGTCGAGAGCTCTCTGGATTTGGGATGCTTGGCCTCCGACTCACATTTATGATGGTTGCAGGGACTTAGGGCCGTGTTTCACACTTATGACCGTCACAGCGTTCCCCTTGGTTTCATGATCCAAACTCCGACGCCTGGCAGCTGACTCGTATTTATGACAGGGGTAACGCGATCCTTCTGCAACCACCTGAGGAGCGAAAATCAACGGATAAGACGGATTCGCTTAGTGTCTGTGTGACTCACTTAACTGGGCCAGAAAGGTTCTAACTTGGGACAAAATTCACTTTGAACAACCATCTTGCTTAGTGGCCGAAACGTTGGGCTCTTTTTATGGTCGTAAGTCGAGGACTAACCTATTTGTTTTGCCTTTGTGGCTGAAAGGCTCCGAGTTCAAATTTCTCCACTTTACAATTTGAATATAAATCTGGAACGTGTCAAATTTGTGGAATCTCTTTAATCCACTTTTTTTGGGGGTGGGGGTGGGGGTTGGCTCAGCAAAATGGCGGGGATCAATGGACTCATTTTTCAACCGTTGTATTGCGAGTCACCGAGATCCTGGAGCCAATCGGGCTGATTTGACAGCGTTGATTGACATTGCGGCCGGTGAACCAAAATGGGCATTTTGCCTCAGACAATCCTTGCAAGTATGGAGAAGATCGGAAAACAATCAGAAGTTGGCGGGCTGGGAGATTCTGGGAGTTGGAGTCCTCCCCTGTTAAAGCATGCCAGCCCGGGGATTCTGGGAGTTGAAGTCCCCCCCCCCCCTCCTCCACCTGGCAGGTTCTCAAGATTGAGCGATGACTTCACCCATCTTAACTCGTCACTCAACAATAACTGGATTCCCAGCCACCCTTCCTTTCTTCCTTCCCTCCCTCCTTCTCTTTTTTCACATTTTCTTTCCTTCCTTCCATCCATCCATCTCTCTCTCTCTTTGTGTATTTATGTCTTCTTCCTCTTCCTTCTCCCTCCTCTTCCGCCTCCCTGTAATCTCCTTCCTTCTGGCACTGATTAGGTTCCCTAGTTCGATCCTCCTCCTCCTCCTCTCCGCAAACCCCATCCTTGTAGTCCTGATGATGTTCCCTAGCTGGGTCATGAGACGTCTGCAAGAAAACCAACCAGCTCAGAGAGCACCAAGGACCCCGCAGTCCTCTCCCTTCCTTCCTTCCTTCCTTCCTTCCTTCCTTCCTTCCTTCCTTCCTTCCTTCCTTCCTTCCTCCCTCCCTCCCTCCCTCCCTCCCTCCTTCCCTCCCTCCCTCCCTCCTTCCTTCCTTCCTTCCTTCCTTCCTTCCTTCCTTCCTTCCTTCCTTTTCTCCTGCTTTCTTGCTCTCCCAAACCCTTCTCCCTTCTACTCCTGTTAACATTCCCTAGTTGGGTCACAAAACGTCTGCAAGCAACCCACCAAGCTCAGCAAGCCCCAGCTTGCACCCTGAGCCTCACTGTCCCCTGGAGGCCAAGATCTAACCGTCTTTTAAGGTTTGATGGTGACCAGGATTGTGGGCCCGTTGCAACCATGACACCTTAGTAGGCGGACCACAGTTTCATGTGGGGTTATGTATCAAGTCCCGGTTCATCAAATCCCTCCTGCTGCATCCCCCCCCCCCCAAAAAACCCAGCCCCCCCCCCCCCCCACCCCACCCCCCCCCCAAATGCGCCCCCCCCCCCCCCCCCCCCCCCACAAAAGGACACACAAGGGTGGCAATGCACAACACCACACCACCCCCACCACCTCTCTGGCTGCTCTTTCCGGGTTTCTGTTGGGTGGTTGGCGGAAGGGAAAAGAGGGGAGGGGGGAAGCAGCCCCCAAGTCTGTCATTCCCTAAGGGTCTCCTGCTGAGCAGGGGGTTGGGCTAGATGACCTCCCAGGTCCCTTCCCACTCTGTGATCCTACGAGAGTCTCCTGATGGAGCAGGGGGTTGGGATAGATCACCTCCCAGGTCCCTTCCAACTCTCATCCACCATCCCTAAGCAGGGTTTCCCTGCCTGTCGCCATGGAGATAAAAGGCCGGAGGACCAGGAGGCAGTTGCCATAGCAACCACCGGGCATTGACACCCACCAAGGCCAATGGAATGTTTCCTTCCTGGGTTGCCGAGTCCCCGACACACCCGTACACACGTCACAAGGGGGAAAACACGCTAAGCACGCGCCCAGTGGTCGTTTTTGCAAGCCACCCGTCGGCTTTCTTAAAGGACACTCCGGGCTGACAGAACCGGCATTAAACCATCTTTTACGGTGCCGACCATTCTTTTCAGAGCCATGGAAAAACCATCTGGAATTAAATTATGGTTACGATATTTATCAGACTTTCAGAAGGCAGAAGATGGAGGAAGGGAGGGAGAGAGAGAGAGACAGATATGATGGATGCAGAGATTGATAGATATACATAGATGATAATTAGATATAGAAATGATAGATGGATAGATTGATGATAATATCTATAGATAGTAGATTAGATAGATACAGAGATATTAGATGGATCAGGGGTCTTCAAACTTGAGGGCTTTAAGACTTGTGGACTTCAACCCCCAGAATTCCTCCTCCTCCTCCAGTCATGTTAGCTCAGGAATTCTGGGAGTTGAAGTCCACAAGTCTTAAACTTGCCAAGTTTGAAAACCCCTGAGATAGATAGATAGATAGATGATGGATGGATGAATGGATGGATAGATAATGAGATGGATGAATCGATACTAGATGGATAGATAGGATGAATTGGTAGATAGGATGGATGGATGGATGAATACAGAAACGCACACACAGAGACAGATTGACACACAGCTACAGAGAAACAAAACACACACAAAAAGACAAATCTATTGCTACACACACACACACACACACACACACACACACACACAGAGAGAGAGAGAGAGAGAGAGAGAGAGAGAGAGAGAGAGAGAGAGACTCACTGAGGCCCACAGTAACAAGCAAGGAACCCAAAACCAACAAAGGCTCACAAAAGCTCTAAGACCAAAACCCCATTTTTCTAGTTCTGGAAAGATCACAATTCGATCCTCCATGCCTTCACATCCCATCTCCAGCTCATAAAATGAATCATGAAGAGGTCATCCAATCCAGCCTCCCCCCCCCCCTCCAATTTACAATGCTGCCGCAAGAAAAGGAACAGGAATCAAGGGCCATTTTAATCTTTCAAACAGCAGGTGACAGCACTGAGCCGAATTCAACGTCCAAAATTAGATCAATCTGTTTGTTTTGTCCCAGGGTGAGAGGCCACCAGGAGATCCAAATATTAGGCTAGATCAGGGGTGTCAAACTCAAGGACCACGAACCGAATCCGGCCCACGGGGTGCTTAAGTCTGGCCCATGAGCTGCCTGGAAATACCAAGGGACCGGCCTGTGGTGCCTGTGGCAGCTAAAAGGGGCTGCGTGCACCCACCCACGTCTGGTTTGCACCCTCCATGGCCTCCTCCAACACTCTGCTGGTTGAAATTGGGCCAAAAATGGGCCCAAAGCAGGCTGGAAATGGGCCGTAAAACAGGCCAAAAAAATGGGCCAAAAGGGCTGAAATTAGCCAAAAAACAGGCTGATAACAGGTCCAAAATGGGCCAAAAACACGGGCCATAAAACCTGTTGAAAATAGCTGAGAAATGGCCCCCAAATGGGCCAAACAATGAATTGAAAAATGGGCCAAAAACAGATCCAAAAAAGCCAGAAAATGGCCCCCAAAACAGCCAAAAAATGGGCTGATAACGGGCTGTAAAACAAGCTGAAATGGCAAAAAACAGGCTGAAAATAGCTCAGAAATGGCCCCAAAATGGGCTAAAAAATGGGCTGAAAAACAGACTCAAAATGCTTAAAATGGGCCAATGAATGAGCTGAAAATAGGCCCAAAACGGGCCATAAATAGAACAGGCCAAAAATAGCCAGATAATGGGCCCAAAAAGAGCTGAAAAAAGGGCTGATAACAGGCTGTAAAATGGGCTGAAAATGGACAAGGAACCAGGATGAAAATAGGATGGAAACGGGTCAAAAATGGACCAAAACTAGACCGAAAATAGCTGAGAAATGGCCTTGAAATGGGCTGAAAAATGAGCTGAAAAACGGGCCAAAGAACAGACCCAAAACCGGCCGTAAAATAGGCCAAAAAAGCCAGAAAATGGTCTGATAACAGGCTATAAAACAGGCTGAAAATAGCTGAGAAATGGCCCCAAAAAGGGCTGAAAAATCAGCCCAAAACAGGCCCCAAATGGCTGAAAAACAGGCCAAAAATGGGCCGTGAGGCGAAAAACTCACCCAAACGGGCTGAAAAACGGGCCTAAAACAGGCTGAAAAGGGGCCAAAAATCCATGCCCCCCCCCCCGGAGAACTACAATGTTGATGCGGCCCTCCAAGAAATCCACTTTGACACCTGTGGGCTAGATAGAGAAGCAAAAAAAAAAAACCCCCAACAGGTTTGTTGGGTCTGGTTTCCAAGAGTCCAGGCAGTCCTCGCCTTACAACCACAATTGAGCCCCAACCTTTCTGTTCGCGAAACAAGAACCTTTGTCCAGGGAGTGTTGCGCCCCTCGGAACGGCCTTCCTTGCCGTTGTTGTTAAGTGAATCCCTGCCCTTCTTCCCTGAGTCCCACGGTTGTTCAGTGAATAGGGCTTCCGCCCCCCCCGCCACTCTTGACACTACTTGCAGAACCCTGGGACCGTCAAAACTACGAGTCATCTGCCAAGCTATCTACCTGTTGATTGTGTGACCCCGGGGGAGGGGGGGAATGCTGCTGTAGTCGTTAAGTGTGCAACCCCCCCCCTTTTTTTCCTGTAGGGCCATAGTCACTTGGAACGGTCGCTAAACGGATTGTCGTAAGTCGAGAAACTCCTGTCTGTCTCCTGTCCACCCCAAATAGCCAAAGGAGGGGGTCACACTGGGTGGAGGATAGGGGTGGGGTTGTCCACCATTGGAGTTTGAATCCGACCGGACCCCAAACGGACACGGCGGTCTCTTCTTCCCTTGGCCCACCTCGCAGGGATGGCGTGAAGCACGCCCCCCAAATCTGGGAGACCCCTGTCGCATCCAGGACCCCCCATGGCTACACCCCATGCTCTCCCCCACCAAGGGGGACCCTTCTGCCCCCCCTGTCCCCCCGGTGGGCTTGTGACCCCCCCCCTCTTTTTGGACAGGTTGCTGCTGCTACTGGAGACCTGCAAAAAAACGGGGGGGGTGTACTGCAAACAGCCCCCCTTTTGGGGGGGGTGCGAGCGGAATCTCCGCTGTTGAGGCTTGCACCCCCCTTTTTTCTGGGGTGCAAGTGGTCCTGGGTGGCGGTTTTTGTGGGGGCGCCAGCGCTGCCTTCCTGCTCAGCCGTGCACACCCCCTTTGGTGGGGTGAGGGGGGGGTAAGGCTGAGACTTACCCCCTTTTTCGGGGTTCTACCTTTCCTGCTGTGGGTCACCCCCCCCCTTTTCAGGTGCCCTCACATTCTTTTTCGGG